GGCCCATGTTAAGAATCGGTCCTATTGAAATCGACCACCAGGGGCAGTATAACATCACAGATTTGTAAAGAGAAGCTGAGGGGACAGTGAAGGCTCAATAACAGTGCATTGTCGTTCTTCCTTCACAAACACACACACCCACACACACATTGGATCACCAGGCTTTCTTAAGGACATTACACTGACTTGAATTCACTTCTTGGAACCTGATCCTAACCTTACCCATCGTTAATACTTGCCTAATTTTAACCTAAACCCAAACCTTAACCTATTTTAACTCATATTAGAAGTTAAAATCATGCTGTTGGTGTAATTATTAAGGATTTACATCATGAGGAGCTGTGTATTTTGTCGTTTTCAGACTCTGGAATGAGATGCTGTCATACTCCCAGATGAGGAGCCGGTTTATCCTATTGATTACATCGTACTCTGCCTCGACAAATCCATAAGCATTATCTAACCCAGCATCATATCACAGCAATCAGTTATAACGCTACACATTATCGCAGAGCGGCAGGTCCATCGCAGACGAGGGACAGAGACGGAGGAGAGAGAAGAGGACGAAGAGGGAGGTGATGGTTCAGCAGAAAGCAGAGTTCAGGTCAATGAATCGATGACCCTGAAAGCACCAGGGTCCAGGTGACAGACGCAGAGCCAGCCCCATCTTTACATTAGGCCTGTTTTGTTTTGTGGCTTCTGTTGTGATTGCTGGGAGATTTAAAGGTGCGCTGCGTAATTTTTCTTGTGTCTGCTTGTCTCCGTGGTGATGTCATTGTTATTGTATTATTGCACCATCATGATCATTTTGATCAGTTCTTTTTATTTTATTTGATTTTATTCCTTATTTATTTTTTATCTATTTTTATTTATATATTTATTATAAGTAATTGGATTATTTGCAACATTGTCTGTTTTTGTATGCTTTCTATTTGCTATTTTCTTTATGCTTTTTCTATTGTTCTTTACTATTATGGTTTGGCCTGTAATGTGTGACAGTATTATCTCCAGGCACGAGATCCAAGTTATGGATCAGATCTGTGAAGACGCAAGCTCCTTCACAGTAATGATGCATGTTTTCTTTTTTTGCAATAGAAGACCTGTGATTGTAAAGATAAATGCAACATAGATCAGTTTAAAGCAGGGGTCTCCAACCTTTTTCTTCTGGTGAGCGTTCTTTTCAAAAAGAAAATGCCAAAGAGCTGCTTATTTTAGTGGTCACAAGAAAAAGAGGATAGGAAGGCTTTAGATGGGGAACAGTTAGATACCTTTAAAACATAAACCGTTGTCCATTTATTAGTGCACAAAGCTTAGGGTGACCAGAATTTCAAAATAAAAAACTGGGACATGCACTTTGCTTTTGGTGGTTGGTAATAATAAAATTGTGCAACAAGTGTGTAATTATGGAAAACTGTTCTGCAGAGACCATTCATGACTAACATGTGAATCAGTATAGTCACATTTTCTTTGTGTTTTGGTCATTTTTAAGCAGCTTTTCTCTATTTTACCTAAACAAGTGACAATTTATGCCTCTACTGTTGGCAGGGACAAATTGGTCAAAAATGGGAACATCTGGGACATTTCTTGTATAAAACTCATTTTGAATAATTCTGCTGGGACAGGGGACATAAGGGTCAAAACTGGGACTGTCCTGGGTAAATAGGGACGTATGATCACTCTACTGAAGTTGGGCATCAAAATGATACATTTACAATGTTAGTTCATCAAATCTGAGCCATTCAGCACAATATGTATACTTCATAAATCTTTTGGTGAGCTACTTGGAAGGGGTTGGAGAGCTGCTGGTAGCTCCTGAGCTGCAGGTTGGAGACCCCTGGTTTAAAGTCATGCTGTGTAACATTACTGGGGAAACATCTCCACGGGGACAAGCTACACAGTGCAACTTTCAGATCTTGTGTCAATAGTGAATCTTGTGTATTCACGGGTTTCAGAGTGATGAAAACTGGGGACCGTTGCCATAACATTAACAAATATTTTCTCATTTGAATGGTCATGTCCTCAAAATGGCAACCATAACAAGAAACTGCAACCCATGATCACTGAAAAGAAGGGCTGCCAAAAAAAAAAAAAGTAAGTCTTATATTAACTATTAAGTATATGTCTTACCATATAAGTCAGTGTTGTAAATTTGTCACATTTCACATTTTTTCCATACACTTCTGGAAAATTCTAAGACAATGGAGCTTAACTGGCTAAGGACTGTCAATACATCATTGCCTCAAATATAGAAAAAAAAAAAAAAAAACTGAAAAAATACAGTGCAAAAAAGTTACTAAATCAAGAAGTAGTTACCTTGATGCGAGAAACATTTTATGCTTGTTCCATTGGCAAATCTTATTATAAAGGTGCACTGTGTAACTTTTCTGGTGTAATGTTGTTTACTCTGAAATAAAATGCAAAAAGTTCCAAAGTGCACCTTTATGACAGTCAAAATCAAGACACCTACTAGTTGATTCAAGCTCTTATTAACTCATCATCTTATTTGAAATTGTGTTTTTTGCAGTGTACAACAAAATGCATTTAAATCCTTTTGCCATTTGTTCAGAATCACAATTAAAACCATTAAAATTATTTGTTTTTGGTAATAGGTGTCTCTAAACTAATATTTAAGTCTATGGAAAATGACAATGTGATTTCTACTTGTACATTTCTGTCCACTTTAACTCAATAGTTGTATAAAAGATTAAAATGATGGGATATGCTGATAACGCAATGGTTTTCTGCCAACTCACAGCGATCAGTCTTCCCTTTAAATCCATATATCGCACTCTGGTGGCTCACTGCGGCTCTCCCTCTCACACACGAGTCCAACACGACACCAGAAGAAGCAGCAGACATCATATAACACAGTTTGGATTGACACGGGTTTAAAGTGCATTACAGACCAGAGCCTCTGATCCACTACTCTTTGGAGACACACGTTGACAGACAAAGGGACAGGTAAAGGAAAAGGAGAGTAAAGACGTACAAGGAGACAAAAAGTAAAGGAGGAACTAACCCTTTCATTAATCCATATGAAAGATTGAGGTTACAGGAGACAAGTTCAATAATGTGGAGTGTTTTTGAAAAAGTCCTATATTACGCAAAACGGATTCTTGTGAGTTTTAAGTCATGTTAGAATGTTGTTAGGTCTTTAAAAACAGACCTGGAGTTGTGTTTTGTTTGATTCACACATGTTTGAGTAAAACTTTATTATTTGTCTATGTTTCCAAAGCTCAAAATGCTCTGTTCCAACTTGTGATGTCATGAACTTTTAGTTCAGAAGAGATGGGCAAATCCAGAGCTGAAGATGTATGCAATTTAAAAACATAGTGGAGCTCTTCTTGTACTACGACTTAATGACATCAAAAGGTGGAACAGAGTGTTTTCTGTTTGAGAGAAGAACTCAGCCTAAATCTGCAGGGTTTGGTGTTAAACATGTGAATGAAACAAAACACAGCATTATAAAATAGATCGGAAAATAGCGTAATATGGGCAATTTAAATAAAACAGTCTGAAAATGCTGACGTCTGATTAAAATAATTTGTTAAAACCAGTGGTACCCTATTGTTTTTAGTATCAAGTACCATCTAAGCTTTGTCTCGTACCCAGAATACCCCTAACTTGGGTATTTAGTAAGTATAAATACGTTAACTTGATCATGTGAATCATATTATATTAAAGAAAATTCTGGTTTGGAAACACTGGCCAAACAATGGTTAGAGCAGCGCAAGTCCACCAACCCAAAGGTAATTCATTTAAACACACTTTGGACCACTGCGTTCTGTAGTTGTGTCCGTTGGCAAGACACTTCACCCACATTGCTTGTTGTGTTTGAATGTGGTGTATGTATGAGTGACTGGCTGTGGTTGGATGGTCCATTGGCACAGGCTGGTAGCTTGGACTTGAGTATGGAGTGAATGAGTAATGTATTTTGAAATGTGCTTATAGAAACCCAACAAATCTGAGCAACTCGTGAATTCTCAAATGCAAAACATATACGAAAATGCCTTAAAATCATTCTAATTAAACACAGATTTGAAAATACACAGTGTTCAAAAATTCTGACATCATTTCGCAGGCAGAATTATGTCAGTTCTTGCTGAAATAACCTCAAATTGTCACAGAATGTACAGAAACAGATCAAGATTTTATATGTAATGTTTTATTTTTGTTCCGTTTTCAGGTTGAGCCTTTCACTCCCAAAGAGAAGTCATTATGTGTCTTGGTATCTGCTCGCACACACATGTAATCCTTTAGCCTGGTAATCCTTTAAATTTTTGGCACCAAGTCCAAATTTGTTTGCCAATTGGTGAAGTTTTTCCAAATTTTGCATTGAAGGCTGCACAGTCTTGGGTGAGTGTGTGCGAGCAGATTCTAAGATGCAGAATGACTTCTCTTTGGGAGTGAACAGCTCAACTTGAAAACAGAACAAAAATAAAACATTACATATAAAATCTTGATCTGTTTCTATACATTCTGTGAAAATTTTAGGTTATTTCAACAAGAACTGGTAAAATTATTGGCCTGCAAATTATGTCAAATTTTTTGGGACACCCTGTACATGTACAACAGAGGGACTGGGTTTGTCACAACTAACTAGTCTTGTGATAATTTGGTTGATTTTCATGTCCTTACTGGAGTTTGCAAAGTGGGTGAAGTGTAAGATTTGAACCAGGCAGCGTTTGGTTAGAGGGAGAAGAGTCAGTCAGTAGAAAAGTGACAGATTAGGTCTTTAAAACATCATAATAGAACTCTGATCTCCTGTAGAATGAACCTTTCATGTGTATTAATTGGAGACAGTTCACACAACTCATCCAAGCTCCTTTTGGTATGCACTGGTAACATGCTACAAACAACTCGCTTAAAGGGTGTGTCGTTTCTTTCCTTCTACATTCAAATCAACGTCCAGCCAACCACCCCCTCCTCGCTTTTCCTTATAAACCCAAAAAAACCAGCGCGTCGGGGGTCATTGCTTCTGTCGGGGTCGGGGACAGTCCCACCTGTTGTGTCGTCCCACAGTTGGACAGTGGGGGGCGCTGTTCTGGCACTGGCCTGTCACTTGTTCCAGGAGGCGGACCAGGCGGGTACAGCCGCTCTGCCCATGTTGGTAGCAGCACAGGGACTCCATACAGCTGAGGGACGGCGCCTGGGAGGCTGATAGAGGCTGGGGAGGGGAGAGGAGAGGGATGAGGGAGGCGGGTAGGACAGAGATGGTGGGATTGAGGGTGAAGAGGGGATATGAGTGAAGAAAAAAAATAAATAGAGATTACTGTGAGAGCAGTGGTGACATGTCAGTGTTTCACATTAACAGAGGAGATTATGGAGGCTCTACATGAGACCTGGGCATTGTCCAGCTCCGGGGCCACATACGGCCCTTTGGTTTACTCTCACTAACTCATTTGGAATTACAAAATAAGCATATTTTATCATTTGACCTCATGCATGGACTAAAGCTGCATTACTTTTATTTTAGAGGTGTTTTTTTAAATGACTTGTTTTTTTAAGGCAAGTTCACTTTTTCATTGTTTAGTCAGAACACAAACTCTTCCCAGTCTGAGCAGCTCATCAAAACAATTATATTTACTGCTTTTATACAGAAATACTATTCATATTATGCAGAAATTCAGTGGCCCTATTTTCTGTTTTTTGTGTGGCCCCAGGGAAAAAATAACTGCCACCCCTGATCTACATCGTTTAAAACTGGGCGATTGTGGGGAAGCTGGCCCAAGTGGTCGAAGTAAGAGTCAGATGAAAAAAATGTACCTTCACCAAAAAATATTTATTGTATCCTCCACCGAGTTGTAGGCAAAATTTACATACATATTTACAAAAATAACTGTGCTTAACTAAAGCAAAAGCAACAGAAAGTAAAGCAACAAAAGAAAATACCCCACAGGCACCCTGCTGCACTGATGGTGAACCCCTGACTGGTTAAACCGCTTCCACTTTTATAATGCTCAGGAAGGAAGTCCCTCCCCCTGGGTCTGCACCAACTCACAGGTTAGATTATTGCAACGTCCCTGTTTTCCTGGTGTGCTACATACGATTCTTATCTGAGGCCTAAATCCCCCTTTAAATGAAACAGTGCTCCAACTCAACTAGAACCACTGAAACCAAAATCCTACAAACCAATTTGATAAAACAAAAAGAACCGAATCTGAGGCTTCCCTAAACAGTGATACATTGGAATTTGTTACACTTTGTATAGTAATAAACATTGTCACACTGTTACGATACTGGTTTCAGCTATCAATACCAATTTAGCCAATGTTGGCCCAAAATGTCTCATGATATTTAACTTGTATTTTTAAAAGGGTTTTGTGATTTCAAACACATTTGGATATTTTTTGCCTTATGCCATTTGTGTGTAAAGGAAATAAATTTTATTTCCAGCCTCTCGACTAATACTGGCTCGGGTATTAGAACAGAAAAATGTGAATCAGTGCTTCCCTAATTATAAACAAATTAAAGTAATTAAACTGATTAAAAATGACTGATTCACTTTTCTCTTTCACAGTGGTTGAGTAAAAACAAGTGCACAGTATTTTGCAGATGAATACATAAAATGTATTAAACCCAGTTTAACCCAGACCAAAATGAGGTTACAGTGGTCCTGTCGACTGCAGCTCTTCTGTAGCTCAGTGTTAGTGAAGCTGAATGAAGGAGCCGTCTGGAACACAGAGGATCAGGTGACAGAGCAGAGTCAGCACCCAAAGGACACTGGGAGAGGAGACGTTTGGCCCACACACACTGACTGCTCTGTTTACATCCTGTATCTGCATTCAGGAGCTTTGAGCGGAGGAGAATAAGGGGAATTATACTTTCATTGGATTTTCTTCATTATGTATAAGAAATGATTCCAAAAGCTCAGATTTGCTGACTTATATATATTGAACTTTCTGTTTATGCTGCAGTTAACATCTCAAAACTACATGTCCAGAGAAGAGGCTGTGTATATAAATGGACATAGCTAACCCGCTAGCCACCACATTGCAAACATGAAGTGAGCATGAGGCTCCATCGACTCTGGCTCCAGTTGACTTTACATTGAAAAACTGTCACTCCTCTCTCTGTAACTCTTGCTGTGAGCCTCACTGTTTAGGTCTTAAAATGTTCATATTAACCCGGTCTACATGATCCTGGTGTTTTTATTTTGCTATTTTGTCCGTAAATAAATTCCTATTCCTAATATAGAACTCGGCTCCAAATTTGCTCCTATAACATCAAGCTTCGGTGAGCTTCATTTGACTGGAGCTGAACACTATAGGTGAGGTCACATTTCCTTAGTCCACTCGCTTGTACAGTCTGTGATCCAGAGTAAAGAGGAGTAATGAGTTTGTTTTTGTAATAATACATGTGTTATATTAGATCAAATGGCAAAAGTTTGTTATAAATAAAGTTGGACAGAGGTTAAAGTTTCCTGAAGCACACTGACAACACAAACATGTAGCTCCACCTTAAGGCAGGAGGAACACACTGTAAACACACTCAATCATGGAGCAAATCATTGAAAAGAATGAATGAGAAATAAGTCAAAGTATTTAAAACAATAAAAACAAAAATGCTTTAAGGCTTGATAATGTCGGTGCTGTGGAATATTCTGGGGTTGGGTCTCTATGGAAACAAGCAGGAGTAAAAAAAAAAAAAATGCACCACCAAGTCACCATTTGTAAGTTTAGAAAAAATAACTGACTAAAATAAAAGCATGTTTTTTAAATTTTTTATTTTAGTCATTTATTACACTTAAAACTGTGTGGGGGGCTTGCATCTCCACAAACCTGACCTTTATTTGGCCTGGAGGAGGCACTTGTTTCCATGGAAATGCTGATCTATCCTTCAAAGCATACTGTAGGTCTCACTTTTTATTTCCATGGAAAGGTAAGGCAGAAATGTGCATACTGTATGTTTAAACAAGCCTTTCATCATTAGTTTGTTTTGTTCTGTTTCTGAGGCTCACAACAGTTGGACAGCAGTGCTTTTCTCCTTATACTTAAACTGTTTCCCTTGTTCTGCTCTCACTGTTGTATCTGCTGTATTTTAGAGCTGCTTCCTGATTGGGCTCTTAGTATTATGAGCCTGTCATCTGAAGATGGATGACTCAGGATCAGTCTCTGGCCTCAGCTCCACCAGGCCAAGGCCAAATCACACACTGACATTTTTATAACAACACTGATCCACAGCCCTGGATCTAGAATTAAAGATGTTCAATTTAAATAGACACAAACTCTGGCATTTTAGCAACATGTGTAAATCAGCATTTACTTATTATAAATGTAGATGCCATAAAATAACAATGAGACAACACTGAAAAACAAACTTTGAGTGAATGAAGTTGATGCTATAATACATATTTATGAAAGTGAATCAATCACCATGACGACATCAGACTGGTCACATCAGTCAATATGTGAGAGATCGTGTGGTTTATGGAATTAGTTTCACTCTGTAAATCTAGTTTTTATCCTCACACCTCAGTGCAGTACTCAGGGTATCCGCAGGTTTGACTACCCCAAATTTAAGACCCTTAAGACCTTTTAAAGACCACTTAAATGAAATTAAAACCAACATCACACCCATTATGCAGGTGAAACATCCAATTCTAATAATGACCAACCAACTATATAACTAGAACACATACATTCAGACTGCAGCCTGAAGTGACCCAAATCCGATTTTCTGGCTTCTATGTTCCTGTATCTGATCTTTTAACGACAGTCTGAAAGACACAGATCTGATTTTTTCAAATGTGACCCAGGACACTCCGATACGTGGTCCTGAAACTGATACATATCTGATCTTTTGACATGCGACTTCAGTCTGAACGGCCAAAGCACATTCATCCACCTACACGTTATCAACAAGCCACAAACGTCATTATTCTGCACTGAAGTGGGTGAAAATTGTTAATGAACTCCGTGTCACTGAAGTGAAGCACATCACCACTCACCACTCTTGGCTCCGTCTCCACATCCACACGTTCATTTCAATGGACGTCGCTGCTGCTGCCCCACAAAACAGCACTACCAAAAACCTCGTCCTTCTCCTTCTCAATCTCCTCCTTAAAACAAGTAAGTTGTTCATGTTCTGGTTCCGGTACGAGAGGAACTTTAAAATCTCCAGGTGCTCAATGCTGCGTCCATGTTTGGACAACTTCCGTAAACACAGAGACGCTCACTGCAGTTGACGTAGTTGTGTCTCCAGTGTCACATGTGGGACACTTTTGGGCCGTTTAATGTTCACACTGGCGATCACATACAAGTCACATTTAACTGGAAATATGAAAGACCTCGCAAAAACATCGGATTTCACAAAAATATCCGAATTGAGCATTAAGCCCTGCAGTCTGAACGTAGTTTAAGAACCACTGTGGATTAAACCTACACTTCCTCCACTCTACTGATGGTTTACTCATTGCCACCGACGCCAGAAACCAAAGTATTGTTTGCAAAGACACCAAATTAGGCATTTAACATCGCATCAAATTTAAGACCTTTAAGAAAAAAATAAGTCTTGGACAATGTCATTTAAAACTTTTTAAGGTCTTAATTTCGGAACATGAAATTGAATACCTTTTAAAGACATTGAAGACCCCACGGCTGCCCTGAGTACTGCAGTATCAGAGCACTTCTGTTCTGGTGTGGCACTCAGAGCAGAGCTGCTGTTGTGCTCACGGATTTGGAGCTGCACCAGGCCAAAACCATACCCGTGCCAGTACTACAGACGCGCAGTGGGGTAAAACATGACCAGTGAAATCACATAACCCAATAATTACAACTGAACAGTATTTATGTTGGACAGAAATATGATTTAAAAAACACCTGATGACATGTGTCAGTTCTTTTATATATCAACACTAACAAACAAATAATAAACAGGCCAACTTTAACTGACCAACTGCCCAAGGCCAAAGTCTGATGAAATATTGATTACACAGGGTTCTCCATCTTCTCTGGTAAATTTCATGTCACGTTTACAGAGTTTGATTTAGAGCCGCTATAAATGTAACCTGTAATTGTCATGCCATAAAAAAAAAAAATTATGAAAACTAAAAATAAGGAACTAAATACTGTAAAAGACTGCATTTCACACACACAGACACAAATGCAAAAGTAACACGAGAGAGCAGTGGGAGAGCTGGAGGCTGTGGACTGGAGGTGAAATGAA